ACCACTGAGCCGGCATCCAACGGTGTTAATGTCTAGCTTCATCTGACTTATGATTTCAATCTGTGAAATATTATCTTCAATTGAATAACCACCAAGCTTTACTCTGATGTATATGATTATTTGTAGGAAAATATTAAACGAATCAATAGAATTCCTAATGAGTTTATGATTACAATGAAATAGATTATATAACTGCGCATAATAAGCAAAAAGTAAAAAAAATCGATAGTAAGAAAACTGGTGTACTAGTGGTGAATAACAGTTCTAGTAACTAGTTCAACATAGAAACTAACATCCATAAACTTCTCAGTTGATTATTCTAAGCAGTTTCTAAGATAGTTTTATATGTATAACATTTTCTTGTAAGCACTATTTTAAAAAAAATCTTATGTAAATGATACTTCAGCTCATTATGCTGTTAGTTAGATAAATATATACAAACTAAAGCTGGTAATAAAATTAAATCTGATTTAACTAATCACCTAGAAAAAATATACACTTAAAAGTTTGCTTATTCATGGGATGTTATTATGACTTCGGAGTAAAAACAGCTCTACAGAATAACATCGTTTCACAGTGTAGAAAGGATAGTTAAGATAATTTTAATTTATGCAAACTAGAGTAGGAAAAAAGATGTTAACATAGTTTGAAACAAATTCTAATTTTAATTCCTTGCATATGTAATTTAAGTTAAACATTTTTCACTAGCTAACTATCATGGAATATATAATAATGATATGACGAAATAAATAGGCAAAATCATATTTTCATTCATTGTGATTTTTGGCCAACATTACTTCTAGTTATAATTGAGTATTAGGATTACTCAGTGTAAAGCTTGTTTTATTTTTGGTGTGACATTTTACGCAATATTATACTGACTTATTTTACAATGGAGTTTATTTGAAACACGTTATTTTTGTATTAAATTAACGTGAATTGTAGTTCAGCATGACATGCAACATATGATTTGTTGTAGTTCCGAGCATTTGTTTTTTACATATGTGATTTTCCAAATAGTAGTCAAAATGGGTAAACAATCAATATATAATGAATATATTTTCTACTGGATTCCTCGCGTTTGAGAGTAAGTAAATCTTCTCTTGCATCAATCTTTCATGTTCTTACTTCGTGTCGTGAGAATTATAGTGGTTTTTCGTCTCCAAGCTAAAATAATAACCTACATGTATAAACTTTAATAGTCACATCAACGCTGTAAAAACACACATTACTAAGTTAACCGAGTTGACAGAACAGTCCTTGTTGTGCTTTGACGTGAACATCACAAAGTACTTGATTGAGGGAATAAACTGGCCTCACAGGTGATAACACTCAGGAAGATAAAATAATCTAGGTGATACTAAAGCTACGACATCTGACTCTTGACCAGACATTTCTGGATAAAGGCTTCAGAACTCTATCCTCAAAACACAGTGAACGTGGTACAACCCCTATAGAGTATTCCCATAGGCGACTTGCCACAGCTATGAGAAGTTGGTGGTGCCATGAGATGGCATGCAGTCAAAAAACCCTTAAACGTGGTCTTTTTATGGATCAGCTTCCAGTTTAAGATATCAACGTACACTCGTCAGTGGAAAGTAGTGACCATGTTATCATCATGCTTAACGTGATTATGAATGAGCTATCTAGAGAGGAACAGGGACGAGCTCTACCGTGGATATACTAAGAAAGACCGCACAATCATGAGGCAGCATCTTCAAGAGACCAGTGGTCACGTGAGTGGAAGAGGCTATCATTTAGCGAATACTGAAAGGTGGTAAGGTATATCTTTCAGAATGCTATCTAACGCAATGTACTACAGGCAAGGCACACAGCTGGAAAGAAAAGACCCTTGGTTAGGCGAGACATAGAACGTCTGCTACAGAGCAAAACTATAGTCCGGCACAGATGGAAGGCCTCCTCTTATGATGTAAACTGTGGTTTTTACTAGATATTGATAAGCAAATGCAACGCCAATGTTCGGAGAAACACGAGATAATTTAAGTCAAACAAGCAACCAAAATGCAAGTAAACTCTAAATGTTTCTACAGATTCATGATCTAAAAATCTTACAAATCAGGAAATCTGCATTAGATAATGGAAATCTTGCCAACCTAAAGATAGCAGAAATCTTTAATGTCAACTTCACAAATATCTTAAACCAAAAACCTAAAAACACGTACCACCCCTCAGCTTCAGCACTAGCTGAGACCCCTAAGAATATTTAACCAACTTTCGGGTTGGCACCAAGAAATCGAAAATCTTTACATTAAGGAAAGCTACAAGAAGGTCAAAACATACGCCCTAAAATCTTGGTACATTGCGCGGATGTAATTAGTTCACCAGTATGGAAACATCTCAGGCATTTAATAGAGTCAAGTAAACTTGCAAGAGAATAGAAATATACTACTCTTTCTCGGATGTTCAAAGGAGGAGATAGAAACGTTACAGCCTACCACAGATTATTTGCAATACTCCAACTAACAATGAAGATAATAGGAGAACTGGTCAGTAAATAGATGGAGTAATGCACAGATTAGAGCAACATGATGCCTTATATCTGTCTAAAAAAAGAATTTCCTGAGGGTCTAATCTTCTCAAGGCATGGAACAGCCCAGTGAACGGTTGTACTTAAAGATACCAATCTATGCAATATTCCATGGTTTAAAAAGCCTTCGATACAGTTCCTCACGAAGTTAAATATCACAAACCGACTTCACTGTTCGAACCATAACTACCTCAAATATAAGTTGTTTCGCTACAAGGCAAATAGAGTGCACTGTGGTGCTTGTATAAAATAATGATTCTTTTGTACTCCACGCATGCCTGACTTTGAACTACGTCCGTTGCTGCCCACCTACATCTATATGACTTATATTGAATTATTTCAAGAATTACCAGTTCGTATAATAGTTTAAATAATTCTAAGAATCAAACGCACTCGAGTTGGAATATCACAGAATCAGTAGTTTCAAAAATAATAAGAGTAGGTCAACGCTGTCTAATGCTTATTAACTGCCGTTTAGTTACATTAAGCACGGCAGTGCTGATATGATCATACGGTGAAAAGAACTAGAGGTTTATAAAGTCGGAAAAGAATTCCATTGTGATTCTAAAGGATCTTACAACAATAGAAGAATGGAAAGCAGGTGATTGGTCGAGACTTAATCAGGCGAAATGTCATGTCAAGAGCATTCTCTGTCATGGGACAAAAATCCTCCGCGGAAGATGTTAGCAGGTCATAGATTGGATTAAAGCATGCTCAATACACGACTGCTTTGGTGCACGCTGAATGGTTATTTCTTATTCAATCTCCTCAAGTAAAAACTATAAATATACTAACGTTTTCCTACTGTGCTTCTTACTTCCATCTAACCTTGCTACTTGGAATATAATCTCTTCCCTGTTCAACCGTGTTATGATTTTGGAACCTGTCAAGTGAATTGGTGTCCAAGATTACTAAGCAATAGGAATAGCCGGGAGAGAGAGAATTATGACAGAAATTTGTTTCCTATAGTCTCCTCAGAGCTCCATCTCGTATTTGTAACCACATAGAGCTTGGATAACAAATTAAACCACCCCGGAGATACAGTAAAGGCTAATACAACTGTTCACTTCATGCGAAGACAACTTGGAGCAATCACTCACATTTTATATCATATTTGTTAAATCGAATATTCACATTCACCTTGAAGTCCACAACCACTCTCTCTTTCTCCAGAACAGACGTAAATCTACTCGACAAAGTACAGAGGCAGACATATAAATAGGTGATGGTGCTAGAGAAGTCATACGAAGATAGAATCAAATGCTCCGAATTATTCTTAGCGTAAATAAGAGGTGATTTGATAATCACATTAAACATAAAAGTTACACATGGCTACATAAACACGAGTATTGAATCAAGATGTCATCACCACGCTCGTTGAAGCAACCTCCCGAAAATGACACGTCAAATAACAAAAACCTGGGTACGCTCTCAATTTTTATCTATAAGAGATGCCTTAACATGTCATAATCTCGCGGCCCAAGCTATAACAGCCTTCACAGTAGACGGCTTCAATAAACTATTTGACAAACACATATTCACCCATGGATCACCATTTCCCCTTAGACTAGCTGCGTTTGATGCATGTCTAACAAATAACCACAGTTATTATTTCCGTAAATCAGCAACCACTTCGGATCTCGATTAATATTATCTTTATCTCATCACTGAGTCCTACAGTTTTGTCTTCTCACGCTTTTTAAACTATCTATTCATTATTAGAAACATCCGCCTTTTCTTAGTATTCCACTTTTCTCTTTAAAACCATTCACTTTGCAATCAACTGACTTACAGCTTGCTAATATGATAGCTGATGGAATTCATAAACACTCGAGCACCAAGTCAAAATTATTCACTTGAATGAGGTCGTTATCAATATTGAAGGCTTACAGAATTATTTATTTCGGGGATTTATTATTCGATACAAGGTATACAAACCCGCGATTTGCAACCAAAATGACAAGAATCAGTGTAGTCGAGTGTCTAGACTACCTATAGTTGAGCGCTGGCGAAGATATGGAATCGTACTGAAATAATGAGAAGTAAGTGCATGTAAATCAATCCGTTTACACAAGCTTGTCACAAAGACATTGAATATTGTATTAAGTATGATACACAGCACAAGCCAAATGTTAAACTTTATTTCCTAAAAAGAAAGTACCGGATGACTATTAAAGATCTGAAACTGTTTCTTACCACACAGACAATGTAGAGAAGTGGTCAGATGCTTTACATTAGCTCAATATACCCATAATATGAATAATTATAACCCGATAGACTGTCCTCTATAAATTTTCAGCTTACTGTAAACAAAGTTTTCCAGATAAAGAATCATAAAAATTTCAGTTGATGATTCTTTGTTTTCCGTCTTTCCCATTAATTTATGTAAGTAGATGTTTTGTTTACATTGTATGTTTAACTTACAATCAGTCCGCATAGAGTAAGAGGGAATATGAATAAGTTAGTACTTTTATGTTTACTATCGTTCGGGCCATTAATGAATTATTCGGCCGAGCCTTCTCGTCTGTCTGTCTTCTGGATTGTTTTAGGTACTTGATACTTTAGTCAAAAATGCTTGTAGTTTTGTCCACTAAGCCTCCTCACAAAAATGAATCTTTAATGAACAAAACAGTATGGGAGTCTAAGATTTCTGAAGCACTTAAAAGTACCAAAATATCGTATTCGGAATACTTCAATCTAGTTGAGGCTGAAACCAGGTCTGTGGTGGTAAGTTAACTGATAGATCATCCGGATTTTTTAAAGAATTACATACTTGCATTCATAGATAATATAATTTCTGTGTACAGCTTTGCTTTTCAACATTGGACTTCAAATGGTTTTCATCAGTAAATCAGCAGGCCGTTGAAATGGTTGTCTGTTGTGTGAAATTAGGACTGTTTAAAGTTGGTCAGGGTTATTTTCATAAAACTTTAATAATGAACTGGAAGCAATTGAGGGTGATTTTATGATCATTGATTTGTCATGCAAAAAATATTATTCAGTAAAGACTTTTCATTTATAACTGCTCACTTTCAATTGATTGATAGAGCGGTTAAGCGGTAGTATGGCCGATCAACTAGTTACTAACACTTCGAAGTTCTAGTAAGTAGTCTTCTAAATATAAATCCTTTGGTGTTTTAGATTTTATAGATAAAATATTTCTCCCAATAATATACTAACAACAATGCATTTTGAAATGACTGGAGTGTGTCTTGGAACTGACATAGTCTTACACGTTTCATAAGGCTCTCTAATCTCCCAAGTACTACATCAATCTCTACAAATTGAAATTTGTCGCCAAACGACGACTGCTACTTTAAGACTTAGAACATGTATTTTCGGCGGTATTTGTGTATTGGTTAGAGTTATAAATTTTAGTGGGTGTAAATTCCTCATATGCAAATATGAATAGGTCGTCTTTAGTAAACTAATACCAGATGAGTATTTCTTTGCTTATCAAGACAAAATAGTAGGGGTTAGGCAGAAAAATAACCAAGTAAATAAACGAAAAGAGGAATAAAATTTGCTATCCATTGACCAACAACTATACTAAGTTCTCAAATATATATAAGATTCCATAGGCTTTGTTATAATGAAAAAGTTAATCAGAATATCTCCATCCCACTACGACCACTTTTTCAGCAGATGTATCATATTTATTGCAAAGTAATTTGAACTTACTAATGAGTGCATGTTGATATCAATGTTTTAAAAACTGACTGCTAGGTTTACTAGTGAGTTACATAATAATTTACATTTTTAATATGAGCACGATGTACTTGTAAGTAACTGGCAATGAATGAATAGGATATATCAACTACACAGACTTAATTCTTATTTTTTTATTTCTGTGCTTATCTTTCTGAATTTTCAAAGGTTGATTACTTAGAGAGAGACGAATCTCGATCATATTTGAAGATATTTTTCTACGTACAGCAGAATAATCTCTTCCAACCTTCTCCTTCTATTGTTTATCAGCTCAATCAAATGCCGGTGGACTGGTTAGCAGTTTACTTGGGAATGCCAGTCATAGAAAGACCTAAAGGTGCCTTTTATTTATTTGGTTTCTTACAATATACAGTGTGATCTAACAAACATTTATTACGGTTCTCCAGAGAGTACGCAATCACTTTTTATAAATACATGTCTTCGACAAGTCACAACAGCTTTTGAATTACTTACTTGTTCCCCTAGGTTTAGTCAGTCTAGGAGTTGTGGGTACATTTGATTTCGTAAATCAAGTCATTTAGCACATAATCCTCAACTTTCAAGGCTTTTACTTTCATCGACATATACTAGCTACATATTTTAATACCCCTAACTGCTACATGTTTGGTCAAAGACTTCACAGGCTTTCGGATCATTAACGCCTGCTGTACTAACCACGAAGTTTTTATGTGACCATCCTGTTCTTATCATACAACTCAACGGTTATAGTAAGCAACATTTCGAAGATAAGTAGGTGTTTTTTGAAATAAAGTTAACAGAAACTAATTAGCTATATTTGTTCTCTGTGATGCAAATATATTCAAAAAGAATTAAATTTTGACATTCATTATAAATAGAACTATGGTAATCTCTGTATCAGCGAAATGGTAAAATATCATCAAGTAGTTGATTTCAAGTACTTGATGGTTATCTTAGAGTATGTTAATAATGACTTGAGTACATACGTTTCATATTTATTTGTATTAGTACGCAGAATCATTATCAACGGCAATATTTGCTCATCTACGACTTTGACTACCGTCGGTATCAAATTAAATACTATTTTGTAAAGAAAAGCCGGAGAATTACGTTTTCTTAACCAGTAATTTGTCTGTAAACATTTCGCCAATGTAACTTCTACTGTCTTTGATAATAACTCTTGAAAATGATCATGCGTAATCACACTGCTTTAATCAACTTACATTTGACTGACAAACGAAAAGTGATCGCGAAATTAGTGACTTTTTTTCAAATAAGAAACATAAATTTATAGAAACACCTTTTTTCACCAAACACAGTTGGTTTATGAAAGTTTATGTGATGTATATAGATATAGATATATATGAGCAACAAGGTAAAGAAGTAGTACGGAAAAATGCAGACAATAAAGCAATGGTTGCTAACAGGACGACAGAATAGCAACAGTAAAAATCTTATCTCGTAAGAGCATCTACAAAACACATAAGTTGACTAGATTGCATAATTAAGATGGTGACTTAGCTAAAAAAATTAAGATCTTTGGCAAAACTAATGAAAACGATGGACTAATGAAGATTCGTATCCAAACAGAATACAAAATGCGTTTAGTAATTCTTAATACTTAAGTAGATGAGACGTTGTAACACAAATAGTGTTCAAACCAATTATCTGCTATAGTGGAACTAAACATTTGCTAAAATAAGTGACGTTATTTTTGTGTACGATCAGTTAATCGATTAAGTAATTTGTCAAAAATGTTTTGCCATAATAAAAACACTACATAAACTTCCCTTCTCGAAATTCATTATTTCGCCAGTTTACGATATAGGCGCTTATGAAAAGGAAGATGATTTTATATGGATCATTGGAATAATTGCTATTTGTTTTCTTGGAATATTGCTGATTTGTTGGTGCTTTATATTTCTATACACATTTGTTCTACAAGCCACTGCTATGGTTAAATGGTTACCGAGACCAATGATTAGCAATTCTAAACAAATATTTTACAAAACAGAGAAATCACAGGTAAGTTTTCATTAAGTCAGACTTCACGAATTTGGTTTATTCCTTACATTAGAATTTATTTTGATTAACCCAATCTCATACTACTTATATTTTTAAGCTTGTATCTCTCCTTTGGTACTTCCCAGTTGGGTCATACAACTTAAACTCTGTCATACTTTCTTCTTCAACAAATTTTGTCAGTTAGATTTGCGATCCATCAACTTTCTAAAGATTTCAGATATGTCATATTGCAAAATCCTACCGAGTATGGTGTTTATTCCCACATAATTTATGCTAACCACCTTCAAGTATTCAACATAATATTCCAGTAGATCGTACCAAAACCACTAGACTTCAATACATTTAAGTAATGCGTTTGTTGTAAGTTAATCTTAATCGAGCTTTCTTGATATTTCAGATCTCTAATTTTACTCGTCAGCTTTATTATTCTAGGCTACATAGAATTGAAAAAATTGTTTTACCCTAAATGCACTGCTTTTGTGCAACTGCAAAAAGATCTGTCAGTGGAAAAAAGTAGGGCTAACTTTGTATAGTGACGGCGACCTGCTAAGCACTTTAGACAACCTATTTTACAATTGTGCTACCATTACAGTATATTTTCTTATATTATTCATATTTTAACATATTAATGGTTGATTTAAATAATTCTATGTATCGACACTTTTAAAAACGTTAGAAAGCTTTTGTGATGCTAAATATTGGATGATATAGTCGGAAAACCTACAATTTTTGAAACATAATAGTTTATGTTTATCTTTTGAGAAAAAATGAAGAATACACTGGAATTCATTAATTGAATGTGTTGCACGTAGCGGTAACTAACAAAAACCCTTATGACTGAAAGCGAACGTCAGGCGAAAGTTGTTTTAATACATTTTATCGGATGTTTTGTAGTTTTGTATCACCGATTGACTTTAGTTAAAGGAATACAAAAAATGAAATAGCATTGTACAGTCTTTTTTATCCCACCATGGGAGTCTTCAACATTCCGCATCTATAGTTACACGAAGAGCTCAATTCAAGACTTTTGGCCCCAGTGGCGAATGGAAAATATTTTAAATTTCAAGTTACACAAGTGTTGCAGATAATTTATTCTGAGGATTCGTCATTGTAACCAACGTATCTCTTTGAATAAGCACCATTACTTTCAATGTAAATATTACTAATACGTTTGATTTACAACTTATGCAAGTATTAGAAGTACCTTGTACAAATGTAGTTCATATATTCATTGAATGTTCTTAGTGAACGTTTTGGAAAATTCTCAATTTTGCTTAGTACTGTGGTGGTAAAATGAACTGATTGTGTTCGATTACGTGTTCTTAAGCCATCTTATGATGTTCAGTCAGTCAGTCAGTCAGTCAGCTACAACGTAGGACCTGGCACATTTATGCATCGGTCCAAGTTGCCATACCTCATCTTATGATGTTAGGAAGTAATCAGTATTTATCATCTCCTCATTTCTGCTTCTTGCTTATGTTGTTTAATATTCTCTTCATTGAGGTTCCAAAAAACAGTTGCGCCTTGTCTGTGATCTCCCATTTTTTTAAAAGATCAAGTAAAACGATTTTTCAATAAATATTTTCCATATACTTTTCTATTATTATTAACTACAGTGTAAAATGACAATTTCCGTATCTCAGCTGTATTAACTTAATTACACTAATCTTTTCTATTGTATTCAACTATTTGTTTTCCAACCCAAGCTTATTGCAGTTCATAAGATGTCTTGAATTTAAATGGATTTTTCCGCTCCTTTTGCTAATTTCTTACCTTCTTTAAAATAATCAACGAAACCAAACATATATATATATATATATATATATATATATATATATATATATATATATATATATATATATATATATATATATATATATATATATATATATATACCCTATACATGGTAGAAAAGGAATTTCATTTTCATGTTCATTCAAATGGTGTTAGCTAATAAACATTCTTAATTATCGTTTTACTGAATATGCAGTTTTATTCATCCTTAAATCCTTCTTCATAGGGTGACGGAAGATAAGTATTCTATTATAACGGTGTAAAAATTAATTTGAAAGGGTAATATATTAGATGCTTTAGTGATTTTCTTTACACGACCTTTATATTTCACTATTGATGATAAATAAGCATTAAATCCTAAGATTTTGATTTGATTTTTATCAACAGTTTAATTGTTTACTGTTTTATTCAAATAGATATCAGCTCTTTAAAAATATTGATAAGTTTTGCTAATTGAACGCTATATTCAGTTCCTAAGTTCTTCTTGTAACCCCCAAGCTAGAACTACATAGCGACTTGAACACGAGAGAAAAGGCTCAAAGTACGTAAGAAACACTTTACTCCAAAGGTTCATTTATGTACAGAAAATATTGGGTTTTTATAGTATTTAAGATGTTTTTGGGTTTTTCCGAAAATTCTAGAATGCTACTAAACATAGTAGCAATGTAGTAATCATCCAATCAGAAACTCGAAATATTACTTTCCAACTTCTAGATGTTTCTGGCAAAACTTCTAATGAACGCTGATTGGATAAGATGCTTTTCAGTGTTTTCAGAGCCTTTCTTGGCTTTTTTTTTCGAGGAGTTTTCTGGATCTCCTCAACAAATATCAGTAAAAGTCTCTTTTTTCTTTAAATTTTACTCAGCGATTTAGTTGTTATATTAATAAGCAATATTTGTTAACGTCAATATACTTGATAATAAATGTAAACATTTTAGTGAGTTTCATATTTGATGCTGATCATTTATAGAGAGAATTTGAAGAAAAGAAAGATTCACAAATACAAACCGATGATTTAGAATTTTCACAATCAAAAATAAGCAAAACTCAAGAATCAAATCAAAATAAATCAATATGGTAATTCAACCTTTTATTCCTCTAAAATTTGTATAGATCCATTTCAAATGTTTGTTAGTTTCATTTAATGTACCCATAGATACTTATGATGAAATGGAATAAAATAACACTGTTTAATAGAATATTTTTATCCATTTATGTTTAGCTAAATACAGATTTTTCATTCTAAATGAAGTTTATTCTTTATTTATAATTTATATTGTATACTCATTGAAATTATATATCCTCCTTTTAACTATTAAGAAGTTCAAAAACTATCAGAATGGGTTTTGTGGAGATTTTTAGAAATTTCACTGGTTGAAATCATGAGTCAATTGAAGCTAAACCTGTCCCCGGTTCGAATCCCGCGGGGTGAGGGATCGTGGGTGAGCACTGCTGAGGAGTCCCATACCGAGACGAAACGGTCGTTCAGTGCTTCTAGGTTTTCCATGGTGGTCTAGCTTCAGTTGAATCATGAATGCATTCATAGTTGATGAAACATAAATACTGATACATTTCTCATGTGTTATGTAATACTTCTCAACATTTATCTTAGTTTTAATGATTGCTGTTAATTTATTTTATTTTGTTATACTCTCTATCTTTATTTTCAAGTGATAGAACAGTAAGAGATTCCAATTTCTCGGGTAAACAAATTTTTATTCCAATTATCTTTTTTTCTTCAAAGAAGCTCAACTTTCAACTGTTTCAGAAATAAGTTTAGAAGAATCAGTTAACCCTACTATAAGTGAATTAAATGAATCTGTTTTACCCTTGTCTGAAACACAAGTTCTCTTATCAGATGAAGAAGGTAAATATACTGTTATGAATATTTGTCTTATCAATTTACAAACAGATGGTATTATAAATCAAAAGTTGAATGAAATCAAAGTTAATACAAAGTATGTTATAAATTCATTCAAAATATATATCTTTATTGAACTAGGAATTTAAAGAATGAAGTGATTGAAGAAAATGAAGGTGGTAAGTAATATTATAAACAAATTGTCATGCAAATAGGTTAGTAATCTTGAATATATTCGGAACTATCATAACTATATGAAAACTATGCCTAAGAGTTGAAATTTAAGAAAGATCTATCTGATATCCATTGACTTCAATATTTTGTTCGATTTTTTCATTCTTTATTATGCGATATTAAATTGAAATATTTCAAAATGTAATTGTATAGAAAACATTATTGTACATCGAAGAATCCTTAAAAGAGAACCTTAATGCACGTAACTTTCTATAGTGTTGAACTTATCTGAAAATAGCCTCATTTACCCAAACGTTGGTGGAAACTGTTGGTTCCTCAGTCAATGTTAGTCCATAAAGAGAATTGCTTTCATAATTATATCTCGTTAAGATGTTTAGCATAGTTTTTCTTTAATTTTAAAATAGCACATCTAATTTTCTTTTTTCTTTATGGTCATTTTTACATTCATATATTAAAATTAGCTACTATTTCCCTTTATAGATTTGCTACAGGCATCTGAAATTGATAAAACGCTTACTTTTGGATCGTTCGATAATGTAATACCTTTTGTGATGTCTGTTCCACCACGTCCAGAAGCGATAAAATTAGCAAATTTATTAAACTCTCAAAAAGTAGGTTTAACAGTTAAATAATCAAAGTTTTTCTTCCCAATCAACTTATATCGTTTGCTATAGAGTTGTAAATAAATAGTTAAATCTATACATACACATAATATTAGCCAAACTACGAAACTATGATCTCACCATACCACCGTTTTTTAAAAAAATAGATTTCAGCTTATACGGAATATTTCTTGTTAGGATGTGCAGAAAAATATACCAATAGTTATCATGTTAAGTCTAATGTTGTCCTTGGACGTTAAATGTACATTCCCTATTGGTCGATATTTACTTCACTTGTTTAATATTGTGTAAATGTTGTTTTCTATTTTTATGGTACGATGTGGTATGTTTGGTTAGTATATAAATAGAGTATGTCTGAAATACAATGATTCATATCTCAGAGGCTGTGACTTGCATTCTCGACTCAACTCGCTGGGTTAGACAGCGAAGCAGGGCCAATCAGGACACTAGGTCATTCGTACGTGTTTACGTGTCACAGAGGCGATCGATATAAACGGTGCTTATCAAAACCTGCAGTCACACCCGTTACAACATTTCTACAAAAAATGATACGTGTACATTTGTCACAGAACATGAATAATATTTGTTGTTTAAAGTTAAAATTAAACTAAGATACTGATCAATTGTAGTGCTAAAACATCAATGAAAAGATTCAATTAAACAATATCAAATGAATTCAAATTAAATAGTTATTCGAATTGTTTGAGGTTGAAAAATGTACTATCCTAACTATTATTTCTAAATATTCTTTTTAATGAAATATATCTTATAATATAAAATTCATGATGAATTACAGGTAATTTTTCATAATAAATCAATCTTTGATAACACTGTAATTACTAGTACAGAAGTTGTGGAGATTATTAAGTTTTTGATCGGGATCATGAACCAATTGATGTTAGACCATCACAATTGAAAACCTGGAAGCACTGGACGGCCGTTTCGTTCCATTGTGGGACTCCTCAACAGTGTTAGAAACTATCACCATTGGATGCCGGCTCAGTGGTCCAGTTGGTTAAGCGTTCGCGCGCGAGACCTAAGGCCCTGGGTTCGAATCTCGCTCGCGGGATCGTGGATGCGCACTGCTGAGGAGTCCCACAATAGGACGAAACGGCCGTCCAGTGCTTCCAGGTTTTCAATTGTGATGGTCTAACATTAATTGGTTCATGATCTCGATCAAAAACACTGTAATTATCGATGAATAATATGCACTCATTATTACAAACAGTATAATGTACTAATTCCTTTTTATTAGTTATACATGGTGTATAGTTAGTTAAATAAAGCAAGAGCAAATAATAATGCAGAATAGTATGAATTCATCAGCCGCTTACAACCAAATCTGTATTAGAATTTTACATTCAGGTAAGAAATTATATGGAACAATTAACATAAGTGAATGTAAAGAATTGGAATGACAAAAGTTATCAATGATAACTATATATATATGCAAGAACAGGTCAGATGTTATTTTGGTGTTGGAATGAAGGAAACATTAAAGATTGGTGGTGTATGCATCAATGTTTGTTCTAGATTTATTTAAATTTATAAAGGGAAGTAATTGTATGAAATAATCAGTGATTGCTGTTTCTTGATATATGTAAGTCTTCAATCAGATTTTACATGGTATTGTAGTGAACAGTACACGGGTGGAGATAAGCCATTGTATTTGTGCACAAAATTATAGGACTTTTTAATAAAATCTAACAATCATAAAGTAAATGCTTAATTTGCGAAAATGTCCACCAATTGTCTCAAAATGAATCAGACATCATTGTTCTTGCATTTTCATACAAATTGCATTCTGTTTTCATTCTTTACTATTCGATCCTCTTGTCTCTCTGCTGTCAGACATTCTGTTCACGAATAAACATCATATACTACTTATGTCGACTTAAGTAGCACACACCACACTATCTTTATTGTTCTTTCTAATGGTAATAATGAAAACATGAAATATATTCATTAATGCAGATATGAATTTATTCTATTTACAAAATTTCAATTCAATACAAGGCATTTGATTGAAATTCATTTAAACAATATTATTATGATGATCATTATTTCTTTTTATTTTGATTTATTTAACAGATAACAAAAACATAATTTTGATCAATATTATCTTTAGATTATTCAACCAGTCATTGAAATGGATAAAACTGTTGTCATGATACCAATATATATAGAAAAACAAATTGTGTTTTTTATCAATAAAACATTAAATGTTTATGGTATTTTACACCTTAAGATAAATTAGATTTGATTCATAGTTGAAGAAGTGTGTTTTTATATCTATTCTGCCATGGTTTATAGCTTTGAGTTGTCGAGAGAGAGGGAGAGAGAGAGAGGGAGTGAGTGAGTGAGTGAGTGAGTGAGTGAGTGAGTGAGTGAGTGAGTGAGTGAGTGAGTGAGTGAGTGAGTGAGTGAGTGAGTGAGTGAGTGAGTGAGTGAGTGAGTGAGTGAGTGAGTGAAAAGTATCATTTTATGACCTCAGAATTTTGTAAATGTATTTCTTTAATAACATGTTTTACTAGAATTAATATATGAGTGAAACATTTTCATAACATAAAGGATGAGTCTGATTTTAGGATGATTAGTAGTATTGTACAGATTTAATGAAAACAGGAATCTCATATTTGTTTAATCATAATCTTTAATCTACTAGTGACGTAGGTTGTAATGGCTAGCAAAAAATCCGTGAACTCGTGCAAATGTATTTCCTTGAAATATATACAGATAAAACGTGTAATTATGTACAACATGTTTATCACTTGATACAAACATTGCAGATTCACTATGTTTACTCATACAATTTGTATCCTATTCTTATTATTGTGATTTTGATTATGGTTCAAGTTACTTACGACTGCTACTCCTCTTGGATAATAGACGGACTATCAGGATCCTTCATTTAACTCTTTTTGGGCAATATTTCTCAGTTGCTTCCAAATGCTATTCATTCCTTTGATCTCAGCCTCCAAAAGCAAATACAATGTGTTTCTTGATTTTCCTCTTTAAGTTTTCTCTTTCAATTTAGGGCTTGCCTCGCAACGCAGTTTGATAATTTCCGCATAATGCATCTTATCTTTCTCGAAATCCCTTTCCAAATTCCCTCTTCAGCTGGGAGTTGATTTGTTCTCTTCTACAGCAGGATGATGCTGATGGTATCCAGTCAACAAACATTAGGTACCTCTCATAAACAATTGTTTATAAATATTTGTACTATTTCAATGACAGTTGTAGTAGTTCTCTACGTTTTACCTCCGTACGATATAACTCACTGTCTTGACGTTCGTATTGAAGATTCTGAGTTTAATATTGGTTGGTAATTGTTTTGAGTTCTGTATGTTCTTCTATTGTAAGAATAATGCCCAACCTTTGCCAATCCATGCTTTAAGATACGTATCCAAACTTCAGAAATCGAAATATGTTAGGACATTTGTTATTAATTATATTAATAATTGTGATTTTAGGTTATGTCCCACTGATGAGCATCTGTATTTTTATTCAATAAATCACTTTATACTTGCTCTGTTCTAAGTTATCAATAGATTCGGTTGCATAAAACTCCATTTACTTTTAAAAAGTCGATAGAAAAATCAAATTTGCATAATATGTCAAAATCATAGTTGTCTAATGAATTGCTTATTATTTATTGATGTACTTGTCAATTGCTAAATTAGATTTTGTTATGTCCCCGCAAGAATAATGAATGGTAACTTTTAGGATCCATTTATGAACCAATACTATGAGTATATTTTTATCGTATAATTGTTATGTAACTAAGCTGTTCATATTCATGTCTCTCTTATTATAAGCTTTATTTTGACACATAAACTATTGTTATACGTTTTTCCATTCTTCACTTATACCTAGGATATTAATTACTACCTCCCTCATTCACAACCACATCTGGCTGATTCTTGTACAAATGTTGTTTCATATTTTGTTGATACGTTGTCGTCTGTTTGATTGGTATATAAACTCAGTATGTTTGAAATATAATGATTCATATTGCAGAGGCTGAGACTGGTGTTCTGCACTTAACTGGCTAGGCTAGGCGGGAAGCAAGGCTAATCAGAACTCTAGGCTGCTTAAACGGGTTTACGCGTCTGTGATCCGATCGATAAGTCACTGCTCTTTAATCGGCGGTCACAAGTTATAACAGATTTCTATTTCCAAACACTTTATTGTTTAAAATATGAACCCAGTTTACTATAGAAGGTTATAACTGAAGAAGGATATGAAACTATTAATAAATGCTAACTTAAAACGTATTACATAATAAATTTCATAAAGGTTTGAATGTAGTTTAACATTATATTAAAAGATGATGAACTACAATATCATAAATCCACCTTGATTATAGTCTTTTTCTAAAATGTAGACTCAATTCGGACAACAAACGTAAATTCAACTGAACATTATAATAGAGTTCACTTAAGAAGATAATTGGCTTTAAAACAGAAAGATATTGAGTAGTAGAAAATTAATGAGATTGTGTATTATCACAAAAGATTCTAGGTAATTATCTGTGAATAATTCAAAATATGAATTTGATTACTCTCAAATCTCGTCGTCTATTGTTTTCCTGATTTACTTATCTCAATCAAAATATTACAAATGAAATAGAAAACATTATAAAAATATATTCTAACCTAAATAAGTCGATATTTAAGCCATAATTTACTTTGTTTATGAATATATACTAAATAGCTCAAACACTTCAATACCTCTTCAAAAGAAAATCATCAATTTTTAGCATAACGTTCAAAGATTCTGGAAAAGCTTTGAGACAAAACAAATGCTGATTAAAACCAATTTTAACTAACTAACGATAACAGTCATCATATTTAGAATAGTGAACTTTAAACATAATAATTACAAACATGAAACAGATCTTTACACCTACCGGTATGTTCGATGAGATTTTAGGTGAAATATTTTGTAGGATCTTTTAACTCATGATCGTTTCACCTAGCATATTTATTTCCACAAATATTTCCTATACATTATATGTAACAAGAACACCACTTGGTTCAGTGATCCAAAGGTTAATCTCTGTCTACGAGAGCAAAGAGATTTTATGTTTCTTTCTTAGTGAGGTTGTGGATGCACGATAATAAGGAGCTCCATAGAAAAACGAAACAGGTGTCCACACCTTCCTCGTTTTCGATTGTTGTCTGACTGATTTTATGACTTAAATCACGATGCATGATATGAAGCATGTGTGAAAACTAAGTAACTGTAGGTGGACTTAAATTGCGTAGCAAATAAATTATATTCAAACTGAACTACCAAGAGTTCTCTATATAATTTGTCGTGCTTTTTCACAGCATAGGACTAAATTAAATTTCGTGTAGTTTTAGAAATTAAATAATGTTGAGGAAATAATCGTACTACTAGCAAAATTTAAGTAGCCTAAACCATATCAAAAACAAAAGGAATATGTGATCATCTTGAATCCCATAATTCATCTATGAATCTGAGTGAGCTTGTTGATTAAACGTCATCTTAGTAACCTACTGACACATGAGAACTATGACACTGATGTAATTTTTCCAACTGAAACGCATAAATATAGACTTAATAATTGTACCTAAAATATATTGTGATTATTATATTTCAACAGAAATCACAAAGTCATCATACATATTTTTAGGGTGAATACATATCAGTGTAATTTTCTAGTGAGAAAACGGTAAACTGACTAAATGTAGTACAAACAATCTTTATCATTATTATGACAATTTCTGAAAATATTTTAGAATAGCGTAGGGTCTGTTGCAGATTTTGACAAAAACAGGAACAAGGAAACATGACACTATTGACCATTAATACACTGGGGAGTAAAATAAGTCATAAACAGAGAATGAAAAGGTCGTGAGCATTTAGATTTGTAAAAAAACTAAAGGGAACTGATGTTTTTATTGAACAGTTTTACCAGTCAGTGAAATTACAAATTTCATACTGAGTAAATGACTTTTTTTATTTAACTGATTCACATATATGCTGTTGGACAACCGAAACAATAGTGAGACTTTCCGTCTTGTTTTTAAAGTATGTAAAATCTAGGCTGTCTGAGTGATAAACTACTTATCTGAACATTATAACATTCGTAATTGACAGAAACCGGTGATTTAGAACATCTAAATATGACATAAGTTAATTACTTTAAAAAATATATCGGCCATGGCAAATGCATTTGTCAATCCCTGTGTCCATAAAATGCTTTTCACACATGTTTACTTTGTGATGAATTAAGTATATTAGATGATTGCAGTAAGTTAACTATATCAAACTACATTCTAGTAATAACTCGATAGCTATTTCATGATATAAATACTGATGTCTGAAGCGGAATTGAGCACGTAAGAGACAACTACGGGCTATGATGCAAGTTTATTTAGATATCTTTGTTCAAACATAAATCAATTTCGACTGTATACTTTAAAATTAATCATAACTATGGAATTCAGTGTTTACATAGGCATCTATGTCGATCAATAATGCTCTACGCAATGAGAATAATCACAAAAGCTTCTTAACTAATTTTATCTGTTACTTGGTGGATTTTTCTCCTGTCGACTAAATTATTAGTGTTAGTGGCTTTATTGAATATTGTATTTTTAGTACAATATAGAATTCTCAACACGAAGTACTTTAACAAGTTTCTTATTTCTTGATTGAGTGGTTGCCAGCTGGATGTTAGGAGTTCAGGAATCGACATCTGATTAATGTATATTCTTTTCGATGCATATTGTCAGAAACCACGATGTTTCTGATTGGGATCTTTTGTAACTTGTACAGCGAAATGTCGTAAACTTTTCACAAACGCACCTGAATAGATTACGCGACTAATAGGCTAAATGATTTGTTAAAACAAACAAGAAAACAGATAACATATTAAAACATCCAGATGGAGGGAACAGGTAGCCCGGATATTCAAGAAGGCCACCATGGCCTAACTAATTAATGAACAGGTTTGCACAGCACATCAGGTAAAGCATAAAATTAAGTTGACAAAAACATTATCAGAACAACGAAACCTTGTATATATATCATTAGATAACTATGTTAATTAGGAAATTATTCAAAAAATCACA